TTTTTTTCTTTTTTTTTTTTTTTCGGTGGGGCTCTTAAAAGAAAGACTGGAGACGCTTTCCTTCCGGTTGAATCTCTGCCCTTACGGATGATTTCCCTTTCCCGAGAGAAGAGATACGGTACGGTAGCTGACGTGCCAGGGAAGGGTTTCTCAAAGACGGATTGGTGGTCTAAGCTTTCCGCTGCCGTAGGTCAAAATAGGGCCTCAAAAGGATTGGTCTCTCTGGGCCGGATTATCAGCCCTTCAACGCTGGCAACGGACGTTCTGCCTCAAAAGGGGAGGAGGAATAAATTCGTTGTTCACTTTTTGCAGCTTCTAATCTGTAGCTGATTTACATAGCATCTTCTCTGCTTCCGTCTTCTTCTCTTTGGCTGTTGGTCACAGAAGCTAAGTCTTTTTGTAGATGTGAGTAGGTATCTTTAAGAGCATTGTGATTTGCATTGCTACTCCTAACTTCTGACATCGTCTTATACTGATTCCTTACGCTTCGACATCGACCTCCTCCTTCTCGAAAGGCATTTCCTTCTTCTCTTCTAGCCTTTAAGAGCACTAGAATCCGCAGGTTAGCAAACCAAAACCTAATCGTGATCTAGGAAGGGCGTCTACATACGCATTTGATAGTGCAATCCTATAATCCCGCCGTAACGTCAGCACACTTCGTATTATCGACGGGCTTGAGAAGGGCTGATTAATACGTACACTGCATGAATTCCCAGATGTATTGCAACCGGTACACACACCGTCTCGACAGGTCACGTCGGGGTTCTGTCCCTACCGGTCAGCAAAACTCTTCTCTTTGATAATCGGAGAAAGGAGGAGGAAAGAGGATTGATGTACCGTGCCGCAAGGGTCGACGAGCTTAGAACAGATGTTATTGCGCTACAATTTCGTATAGAGTTAGTTATGATCGTTCAGAAAGTGTAAGAGATAAGTAGTGTGTGGGCAAGCTCACCTGGCGCTTTAGCTCTGTGCATGTCTCTCGCTTTGTCAAGCCTGGAACTGCTTGCGGAACCGCGAAGCATGGGGCGATGGTCGCTAGTGTGATAGCGAGGACGGTGAGCTTCATTTTGTAAAGGTACTTGTTCAACAAGATAATGGATAGATGAGTAGGTAAAGTGTTTGAAGTGAGGGATAGTAGGATGATTCTTTCCATCGAGGATGGGCATACATACGGCTTTATACTCCTTCGCGGGCGTCACTGTGACCCCCTTATCCTTTGAGGATAAGGTAAGCAAAGGACTTAAAGTGGAAATTCGAACTTTCGAGGCATCCTCAAGGGTGTAACAACGACGCCGGTACCGTGGTCATCAGCCAGCCCTGCGCAACCGAAACGTGAACTTAGTAGTACTACCGGTACTACGCAGTAAATACTATAGTAGTACTACTACTACGTTACGTAACTCAAGGTTTTCCGCCTCACTACTGTACAGGCCTACCGGTATACCTACTCTCCGTAAGTCCCAGGGGCATAAATCTCCGCTACAAAGCCCCTGATTACTCTACCGTACACTACACTATCTCTTACCGTACGTTGTGATAAAGAGGGTCGGTACAGACCACCAACTGGCGCGTGAGCTGAACGATCAAAGAACACTTACTCCGTAGTAGTACCACAGTACAGGCGTAGGTACTTTGTTACAGCTTGAGGGTGCCTCAAAAGTTTAGTTTCCACTATAAGTCCCCTGGTTACCCTATCCTCAAGGGGGCCACAATTACGCCTGGGACGTGCGTACGTAGTAGTACCGGTAGTACTACGCTGGATAGAGAAAGTCGGTCAAGACACGATCGCGAGTAGAACTCTGCCAGGTAATGTAACAGGATTGCATTCTGATAACAGCATGGGAGTGGGACTTGACGTTGCAACTTTAAGAGCCCTTAAGGACCCTTCTTTAAAGTGGGACTTCAGTGGTAGGGGACCGTGTTGTGTGGAGAGGATGATATTTCTAAGTTCTCTTTGGTGGGAGAAGTCTATGTACCTCCCCTAGCGTGCACGTGCTCCCAACAGGCCTGGCAGCCTCAGGCCATCACAACCTCGAGCCAATTCCTAGTTCGGGAGAATACAAGTCAAGTCAACCACAACTACACAACCATCAGAACTGCTTCCTCCTGTGACCTAGTATGATCACCCGATAAGTACGAAGCTGAACATATTATCATATCGTTGATGCGAGATTTTTTTTGGTTACGATTCGCAAGCAGTATTTCATGACTCGCAATATCAAATACGCTTTTCGAAATGCCAGAATATAACTCAGTATTAGATTCTTTTGAGTTCAACACAAGGTAAAAGAGCACGATGAAAAGAATTAAAAGAGAACCGAGGTTGCATATGCCCAAAGATAAGGAAACATTTGCAAATAGAAAACGTAATTCCTCCTTCTGTAAGGTTCACAGTGATAGGGAATCACGACTCGAGGTCTCGATGATGCTGCGTTGGTATCCAGACTGGTCACTACCGTATCTCGCCTTCGAAACTCCTGAGCTCCAGGGAAACCTTTAGGAGATTTAACCTGTATAGGACGCGCGGCCGAGCCCAGCCCGCAGAGCGCCCGAGTATGTTCTGCTCGTGACATTTTCGGATGATAAGGAGTAGTAATTTACCACGGTACGTACAGGCGTACCTGAAAGGCAAGTAGGGGCGTTATTCAAACCGTCAGCTGATAATCCGACAACGGTCTCTAAAAGCCGGTTGCAAGCGCTTAGTATACTTAGTCGATCACCCTAGGCCGATACTTCAGATTGAATAGAATCTGAAAACAAACGATTCAAATTGTTTAAACCGTAGCTGAAATGGAACCATCTTAATCGATTAGACCGTCTTTTATCAGAGCTCGTCCTTTTCGTGAAAAGATGGTTATTAAAATAAAGACCGGTTCGATCGATTCAATCGTCGTGGATATAAGTCGGTCGGTCTTTTTTTTTTTTTTACGAAAAGACCGCTTCCGCGCGTTTTTAAGACCATTTTAAAACCATCTTATGGCCCGTCCCAAGGCCGTCCCCGAACTTGCAACCGTCTCGGAAAACGTAAATTAATAGCAAACAATCTCTTTTTCCTTTCGATTACTTGCCCGTCTACCTTCTATTATACCACCCTTTAACTATACCACCCCCTTGTCACACCACCCCCTGTATAGCCGACGGAGGCGCATTGACGTGGGTAAACTATCACTTAATCGATCGATTCCGATTATAAAAAATTTAAAGCGTCGATATATAAGCCGTGGCAGCGATACCGAGCAATGCCTTATTTAGCAACGAATTCCTTAAATCATCATCAAAACGATTCATTCCATTTGAGAAACAATTTCTATCTATAACCAAATCTTCTTCAAAACAATTATCGAACTCTTTTCATTCTTCAAAACGAGCTTTTTAGTGAGCTTATTTTTCAAAATATAGACGAGGATAGCTACTTGTGGGACGGCCATGGGACGGTCCCAAGCTCGGGGACGATTGAAAAGGTGAACTGGTTTTGATTTGTAACTAGTGCTAATCTTAAACGGTCCAATAACCACCGTCTTTTACAGTATAAAAGAAGGTCAGAGGACCGCTCAAATGACCCCCTACCTGCCTTTAAGGGAATTGTTACACCCTTAGGGGTGCCGCAAAAGGTTAAATTTCCACTTTAAATCTCCTGGTTACCCTATCCTCAAGGGTGTAACAATTACCGGCACGCCTGCGACGTAGTAGGATAACTTCTTTTAATTTAATTTTAAAAGATACGAGATACCGTATATATATATATTTTGTTTTTTCAGCTTGATGCTAGTAGTGTAGTAAGACATGTATACATGTTCATGAAACCCAATAAGTAATATTCTTGATTGAAAAACATTATTTGATTTCTTAGTCGTTTGATGATCGACGCGGGACACAATTGCTTCCCGGAATATCATTGTCTGTTTCGCCCACTTTTAAGGAAAGGGCCCCTAAAGTTGCGACGTCGAGTCCCACTATCAAGGGCTCATAAGAAGATGCAAGCTTGAGAGTTTTCCCCAAAGTCCCCTCCCTTCCTTCCTTCGCGCGGAGTGCTGGCAGAGCTCCGCGAATTCCCTTAGAGATCGACCCATCTATATCTCCCATCTCTTCCTTCATCTTTTTTCCCCCGAAAGAACACACACAATAGCCAGCTCACGGAGTGAAGAACGAAGATTGGCTCTAGCCGAACTAGTCCAGACTAGTTACTTACTTACTTACTGGCTGCCTGCCTGCCTGCCGTCCTCTGCAGATCACAGCCAGGTCACCAAGAGGACCACCACGCCCTCTGTAGTTGTACTACCTACTTCGTACTTCGCACTCAACGCGCAGGCCACTTACTGACTCGACACCTCACCTCTCGTCGCGTCCCGAAACAGCGCGCCAGTTTCAAACACAGAGCCGCAGACTCCCTCCCCCGCTCTCCGCTCCCGCTCCCGCCTTACCCGTCCATCCATTCTAGGTACCTACCTACCTACCCATCATCCGAACCTTCACTCCAGCTCCAGCAAACTTCAAACGACCTGAATGATGAGTCGTGCAGGCCGGCGTCTATAAACAGACCCAAGACAAAGGGCACAATTCGAGATTCCAAATCCCCTTTTTTTTTAATTAAATAAACTATTATTATTATTATTATTATTATTATTATTAATTATTATTATTTATTTTTTTTTTTTTTTTCCCCAAAATCAAAAATCAAAAACCAGGTATCTTCAAATATCGACTGACGAACGCAAAACCCAAAGTTTCTTAAAGCCGACCATCCCGAGAAGAAGATCCAAGAAAGGCCCGATGACACTTCGACCATCACGAGTGATCTAGAAGAAAAGAATATCATATTTAAAGCCGCGCAAAGATGAAGCGAGCACATACGACCATAGACTGAGGAGAATTGGGCATCCCGTTCGCTCTGCCATACACAAGCCTCCGATCGGCAGATTAGTAGTTGGGTGGGTGACCACCAGCGAATACCTGCTGTTGTATGTAAGCTTTTGTCTTTTCCTTTTGCATGTCTTCTTCTCCCCCCCTGATCTTTCAGTTTTGCTAGTATTCTTTCGTTTTTCTCTTCTTTTTTTCTTCTTTTTTTCTTCTTCTTCTTTTTCTTCTTTTTCTTCTTTTTTTCTTCTTTATTTTCTTCTTTATTTTCTTCTTTATTTTTTTCTTCTTCTTCTTCTTCTTCTTCTTCTTCTTCTTCTTCTTCTTCTTCTTCTTCTTCTTCTCCTCCTCCTCC